ATTAAATCTCACTATTGCTCCATGCAGAGCCGCTACCAAGACTCACTATTCAAAGCAATTCTAATTGATAAGACTAAGTGTTTTAATTAAGTTGAAAGTAGAAAATGTTAACACATTGTTATCCGATGGTATTTCACGATATGATCAGATTCATATGTGATTTCAATTTGTACAATTTGTACTCTTTAAGTTAATATTTGAATAACTTCGTAACATTGCCAACCAATCCTAGTACAAGATATTAAAGTGCTTTACGTGAACACTTGCCGTGTTGGGCTTATTTCACTGTGTTACTTTTTCAACTTTTTTTTACTGGGTGAGCTGACTAGACGACTCACCACCGCCCCTTTCGGTTTCTTACACACCGATGTCAATTTTTTCACATATTCTGCCGATCCATGCACAAGCACTTTACTCAAGTACTCAAGCTATCTAATCAGCCATCGCTTAGATCCACAATAAATTCCAACATCGAACTTATCCAGAACTATAGATTTTATCGTGCATCAGTCTCTTCACACGAATTTGGATTTAAACCACAGCTGCAACGTGCACCCCGAAGGAACCTCTCCAATAACCGTTACAAGACAAAGTCCGAAACTTGGTTCTCGTGGTGCCAGACTATGTGGTTCTCTGGTTCGGCCCCATGTCAAATCATTCCAAGGAAAGGCAGAGGATACATTCGATCATCACCAGTTTATAGTCCAGACAGACTAGAGGTACTGATAGCACCTATTTTCCCTGGGATTGTAATAATATCATGGGGTTTTTCATCAAGGTTACGCGCCTCGGGGGTCCAATCCTCAATTTCTTTATAGATTATACGAGATCGTCGATGAGCTGGAAACATTATCCTCATAAAAGAGACTCTACTAGAGTACAGGGTCTAACACAAACATAACTAAAGAAAAGATTCTATAAGGAACTTGGAAATATAGCTAGATGTGATCTGGCCATTCTGTGAAGTTTTATTAAGGATAAAGGTTTGCAATTTAAATAAACTTCTTCGGACAGTAAGAGCATTACGAATTTTTTAGTAGTATTGTTTAGAACTTTCGCCAGTAAATGAGATAGTAACGCATAGGACTTTTGTACGTTATGCAAGGAAATTGATAAGCTTTAACTTTTCTTTTCTCCAGACTGGAATTCAATTCTTCTTTAACTTCTAACACTCTTTCTTCTATTTCTTCATTTAAAGAAAATCACAATGAATCCTTTGAGTCTTCGAATGGATGTGTGCCGCAGGGTGTTATGCTAATCAATGTGCCGCCTTTTGACTTGCTCTTATACTAAGTCAAATGTTAGTTGATTGAAAAATACAATCATTTTTATACGAATACGACGCATCGCTTCAATTTAAAATCAAAAGCTATGACCTTATTTTAATCTTTTTAAAACTAATCTTATTCAAACTATAGCACGCTCTTGTCTATAAGGCATTTACAAAATCGCACCCTTTAAACAGCATAAAATTGACAAAACGTTCAATACGTGCGTTTCAAATCACAAAATAAATTCTTAAAAATTACATCACTCTCACACACTCCAACAGACTTAAGTGTCAATGAATTTACCAGTATTTGTTATTTAAAAAAAAATAAAAACGTCATTGAAAATTATATTTTTGTAAAATTCCCTAAAAAAAAACATCTCAAAAATAAATAAACTTTTTTTTTCATACAAACATCATGTAAATTTTGAAATATGAACGTGATTTAAAATTTCATTATGTGCCCTTAAGATCATTGAGATTTCATAGATAAACATTAACTAACAAATATAAATGACATTCAGTTATTCAGTCAGTCAGACACCCAGTCGTTCTCTGTCATTCGAAATTGTCAATGTTTACTTTAGAGACACAGATTTGCAAACAATTTTTATCAATTAGCACTTAAAAATTCAAACTCACAAATTTTTTTCAATATTTATTTTTTTCGGGAATTACCTAATAATGCTAATTGTAAGGTTTTTAAGGGGAATTAATCGGAGAAAAGATAGTATGTGTGGATTTTTAAATTAAAATAAACTATTTATACTTGTGTTATATTAAAATGATTGAAAAGAGAGTAAGATCTTGGTTTTTTCTATTAGGATTCCTAAAAAAATCGTGTAAACATTGTTAACATAAAGTAAACTTATTAAAAATATTAAATGGAATGTTTTAATTTATTTTTATTGCACAGTAGTTCAGATGTCTCAATATGGTTCAAATATCTAAACATCTACATAACTTAACAGCTCAAATAGTACAAGCCATAATTAGGGGCTGAAATATAAATTTGGATAAACCATATCACAAAGCTCATCAAACAATTGATATTTTAAGTACTAAGTTTGGAAATCGTGTTATCGGTCGTAATTTGCTAGGTTCAAACTTTATCTTATTGGGTACCTTTAAAGACCGATACAGTATCGATGACCAGTAATGCTATGTTAATATTCTTATTGAAAACTGTTGAAGCTATCCCCACTTATGTCTATTATTATCCAAGCGATTCATAAGACAGAACCGGAAACCTTTAACCACTTCTTGGAAAATTTAAATGACGTGATAAGTTATTGTAAGCGACCAAAACCACAATAATAATAAAATCGTATTCCATTAATAATGGAAATTAAATTGTCTACCTAAATTACCTCCCTGGGTCATGTTATCTCGGTGAACCACCCTCAACTTGACTGTTACTGCAATCCATTGTCATAGAGGTGCTGTCAATACCTTTAGTCTTATCGAGACTTTATACTGCAGGATATTTCTTAGATTCCTTTGACTTAGGGTCTCACCAGAGAACCATATAATCTGGTACTACGGGAGTCGGTGATCCGCAAAATTCATCCTGCACCTTATATGAGTTCGTTTCTGTTTTTGCGTAGTGGCTTAGGTTCAAATCTAAATAGCAGGAAGAAAATGTTTGTTAAACGTAATGTCGCGCAACATGATCCGTCAGAGGAGTGACTGGTGGGACTAAATGTTTGGAATGAGTTGATAACAAAGGAATGGTATACAAAATTAATCAGGGATATGAGAAATTACTACACCTACACACCCAAATGAATGTGTCGAATAATAGAGTTGTATAATGGGTTGAATGGCGATGTATGTACGGCATTCTTATTCTTCTATTATAAGTAGATCAATACAATACTCTTCTTTTACATGGTAATACTTAGAATTTACTCTGTTCATACTACATACTACCTTAATGTGTTCTCTGTGAGTTAGAATAAAGTCTAGACTTATAGCTAAAGATCGTACTTCGGTCTATCAGATACGTCCCCAGGTGCTGTTACCGAATCAACAGAGTTCATTTTCTCTAGATTGCATCATTTTTCGTTCCAATTTAATATACTATCACCACTATAACCTATAAATATTTTTAATAATCCTGATGTAATTCTAGTGACTAAGATCGGTTACTGATCTTCCTAATAGGAACCATAATTTCGTTATATACTCCGAAATTATAATCCAACCCTACTATTCTTTCATACAATTAAAATACATATCTTATGTTAAACAAGTAAGACCATATGATACCCTACACCTGTTATGAATATTAAATGTGATTTATTTTTCATAATAAAGCATTTATCTTGAATATTACCTTGATTCCGATTTATTTAAGCAATTTATTGATGAAAAACTTATTTTCTAAAAGGGGGTTTATATAGGGAATAGGAGCAAATGTGGACCGATCCCGATAAAATGGGCTGGATAGATCTGTAATTATATAATATTTGTCTGTGCTAAATTTCATTGCAATAACAGTGCTAATAAATGAATTGCGGATATTCAAGTCACTTTCTGAAAGGGCCTTTGTATGGGGGCTAGGGTCAAATGAAGTCCGATCAATTCGAAATTCGACAAGGTCATCAAGACTTAGTTGTTCGAACTTTCATCGAGATACATTTATATTATACGTAACTATGAGCTCAAAAGCCCTTTTCGGAGGGTTCAGTTGTATGGGGGCTTGGTTAAATAATGGACCGATTTTAACAATTTCGTCCTTAGGTCTAAACAAACGTGTATTTCATATTTCATCAAATTATCTTGAAAATTCCGACCTGTACTTTGATAACAACGTTGACACACATGGACACACGGACGGTGGGACGGACAGACGGACGGACGGACATCGTTAAATCGTGAAAGTGATTCTGAATCGATCGGTATACTTTAAGGTGGGTATAGTACCAATATTTTAATGCATTACAAACATCAGCACAAACGCATAATACACTTCCTAAAAATTCAAACTCTCGAAATTTTTTAAATAAATATCAGAATGTTCATATCTCGAATATTCTTATATTTTAAGGGTGTCAAATTTATAATTACTTCTCCAACATTTAGGCATATGCCCCCACTGTAAACCATGTGTTATGCAAATTTTGTTTTCATATACATATATGATATATAAGTCTATAATATTATGGATTTTAGGCTAGATAAATTGTTAAGATAATAAACATTAGAAGATGAGAAAAATTATTCGTCAATGTGACTAAATTTTTGAGTGATAGATAGTAGACTTGTTAACTTTTTTTTTAGATGGTGGTAGTAGTTAAGATGCTAAATCTGTACTTCTATCTAAGTACTTGCGCGAATACGTATGTACAAACAAACAAACATATATCTAAACAGATTAATGGGTAGGGTTAGAGTTTTTGTATTGATTAAGTAAATATGAAATTATTTTCTTTTGTATTCAAAGAGAGTCTAGTTATTTATTTTTTTTTTTTTTCGTGAAGATAAATATTACAAAAATATTCATATTTTATGATAATTTTTTTTTTTTTTTTTGGGAGACAACGTAAGGGCAGCGAAGTAAAGCTTTAGATTTTGCTGAGCTAATTCATTAAATAGTTCTTGTAGATTTTTCTCTCTTCTGGAGATTTTATTGACTTAATTTTTTTTGTAGTTGAGCATTTTAAGATCATATCATTTGGCCTGGATTTAAACATTAAACTGAAATTAAAAGTTGGGCTATAAATTTGTGTGTAGGCTTAGACATTAGTATCAGTTGCCTACGATTAGCGTTGTGAGTTGCGTGGATTAATTTTTCTTATACGAACGAGTAAGACGGGTCGGTAATTTAGAATGAAATTGTACGTTTGTGTCTTGGTTGCCATGTTGGCAATGGCAGCACCTGCCCAAGCCCTTTTGGGTGCCAAATTGGCTTTATTGGGAGCTTTAAAGAATGGTATTGGTGGTGGCAGTGGTGGTAATAGTTACGGTAATGGTGGTGGTTACGCCAATGGCGGTGGTTATGGTGGAGGTTATGGTGGTGGTTATGGTGGTGGTTATGGTGGCGGTTATGGCAAGGCTGGCTTTG